CTCTCTCTCTCTCTCATCGAATATCCCCTCCTTTTCTTTTCTTTAGTGCTTGAGATTTAAGTTAGAGATTAGTTAAAAATAACCTAAAATTCATTTGACTGTGAATTTGTTTTTCAAAAACGAACGAAAAATAATACATTGAATTGAATTGTACTCAACATAACATAGATAAGAATGCTTTTAAAATTCAACTAAAGTAAACATTCTCTCTCTCTCTCTCTCTCTCTCTCTCTCAAAACGGAGTCAATATTTGTGTGAAAACTGTCAAAACTGAATAGAAAGTCATAAATGGCATGTCTTTGCAAATGAATCACTTCTTCTAAACTTGGATTTTGGAAAAACTGCTAAAAAGAAAACAAAGTGAAGGTTGAGATCAGAAAATAGTTTCCTAACTCAAACAAATACCTTGGTAGCATTAATTGATCGTAGATTCTTTCAATTAAACCTCAAATATAGACAAAGCAATTATAGGAGGAGTGGGTCCGGCAGTTGTCATGAAAGCCGAGGATATGAGATGTTGTGCAGAGCTATCAATTAAAATTGATTTCATTTAAAACTCAAGGTTTAGATTTTTGTTGGCATCAGTTCATGGAATATCACTATTGACACCATTATTATAGTAATCATCAAACAGTGAATTTTCATATATTTTAATGCTTTTCTCGTTACGTAATCTTCGCTATAAGTACACATATATAGAAAAAATATGACTTAAATTTCAATTGATTTTAAATCAGGATTTTGTCATTAAAAACTCAAAGTCATATTCAAATAGCTATAATTCTAGAAAAATTGACAAAATATTGAATGTCTTGAAAGCATATAATTAATGTGTTAGTCAATAGTCAATGAAACTTTAAATAATCCCTTGAAATGCAAACACTTCACGTCTTTGGGAAAAAGTTGTGAATAATTATCTTTTGATAGATTTTATTGTTATTGAAATTAAATTTGCATTGAATTTAAATTAACTACAAAAAAGTTATTATTGATTTATTATTAAAGAAAAAGTAAAGCATTCAAAAATTAGCATATTACTTTTTTAGTGTATTTTCAATTTGATTAGTTATTAAATTATTACAATTATAATATAAAAATAATATTATCAGATTATTAATTTGATACATAGCAAAAATAATACATAATTTGTATTTCTATCAATGAATCATTTTCCGCATAAAACATTTATTCATGATTTTTATTGTTATTTTATATCCTTTTATGCAAAAGAATACATTAATTAGAAATTAATTCACATATTATAATTGCATTGAATTACTAAATTTATAGATTAATTATTATGTTTATTGATTACACTCCTTATGCTCCCAATCTACCAGATATTTGCCATATGAATACTTATTACTGTATAGATATACTAGGGATTCGTAAGTAGAAATATTGGTATTATACACAACATTTAACTATTATTAAACACACAAAATCATAATTTTGTACAATTATAAAACAACAAAATTTTAGTGATTATTAATATAAAGTAAAAACATTTATTAATCTGAAATAACTATATTTAACAGTTTTCTTATAATTTAGTCAATAGATAAGAAGGAGTTTATTTCCTTTTAGTTTTGTAACACAACTCCTAATTAATGTTTCAGTATATTTCATGTTTAATAGAAAACATAGAAATATGGAAAACACGTAACCTTATGTTATATTAGATTATACATTAAATGAATTAATAAATGATTGAGTTTACAATTTTTTGTGTAATAATTTTATGAAATTCATTGAATGTCTTTAATACTGGCAAGAAATAATGTAAAAACGAGAACATTGACAATATATTGTTAATGGATAGGTTATGTATGCATGAATGCTCATTATGAACGATATGCCATAGTCAATAATTAATAACAATTAGAAAAATAGTAACATTTTATGAAAGCTATTCTGTAATATTTTGCTACACATTCATTTAACGTAAAATTAAAATATTTTATACTTTTGTTTTTAACTTTGTTTGTTTTTGTGTTTGTTATATCATATAACTTATATAAGATACTATATTTACATTTAGTTTTAATTGTGTTATTAGTATAATAATAGTATAATTTAAATATTAAATTTGTTTTTCAGAAACAACAATAGAAACCATAAGTAGGAAGTTATCAAAAGTTAACTCTTTTTAAGAGAAAATGCAATTTTTATTAAATTATTTCCTTAATATATTGTATAAATAATAAATATATGAAAATAAAAATTAAATTCTGTGTAATTTATATATTAACTCTCTGTTATTAAATTAAACCTAAAAATAAGTTTATTTACTAACATTTAATATCTGTATATCATATATTAATCTCATGTTGTTATATAATTTCATAAATATTTGTTGTTTTTATGAATTAACAATTAGTAAATATAGTACATAACCAAAGTTGTTGTCAAAAATACATAATAATAGTAATGGTTATACAATAGATTTAATGGAAAAATGTCTAAACTTCAAAAACACAATAATATTTGCATAAATACTCTATTTTATATCATAACATATGTGACGCAAATAATGTTAAAAATAATCTACTTTAATTTTATACTGACTTTTAAAACAAACATTTATTATAGGAATTAACGAAAGATAATGTGATTTATTCTTAGAATTAGTTGAATGTTATTTGTTATGAAACTATCATTATATAAGAATTACACTATTATTAAAATTCAAGATAAATGTTTCTGTTTGTCACTTATCTCTACTTCTTATCTCTATATGAGTCAGACGTTTGCAATAAATAATTCTTTGAATTAAATTCTAATAATATATGGAAAATAAGTATTAGTGTATCATTTGTGGCATAAAAATCAATAATCGCTTTTAACGTGGTTTTACAAAAATATTTATGTTATTAGCTAAATAAACATGAATATATTTTTTGTGTACTCTAATATAAACACATATGTATATAAGCGCACAAATATATGATTTCCTTTTATTTTTTATTTAAGTAAACAAAAATAGAATTAATTATATAAAAGAAATAAAGTTTTTTATAAGAATAATATAATATTTAATAATATAAATTATAAACAGTAATATAAATATTGTAATTCATTTGTGCGGAATGGGATGTCTGTGCAGTCACTCATTAATTAAACACAGAATTGTTTTTATTGAATCCATTTGTGATTTGTTATTTGCTATAAAGAATACTTTAATTAAAAGTAAAAGTAAAAATTAAAATTTTTATTTTTTAGTTTTTATTAATTAATAAGAATATAGTGTTTTTGTAAGTATTGTTTGTTTGAAAACATTTCAGTGTCCTTAAGATTGTTATTCATATTAATCAAATCCAATGTGACATCAATTTATGTTAATAATATTTGAATAAATATGACACAAAATTTTATTTTAGATAACAGGCCATACAATCGCCAGATATTTCCTATTTTGACTATTATTATGCTGTATGTTATGCCAAATTATTTTGGTGCTTATTTTAGAAATGAATTGTTGTTATAATATGTACAATATTTATTATAATTATCAGTATCCGTCACATTAAAAAAGTCTATTTGAATAAAAATATTTTTATTTCCTACTAAACTCTCACTTTATTTTTAGTTTAAATCAGCCAACAGTTAAAAAGAGTGAATAAACTAAACGATAGATACTGTAGTTTCCAAAATATATTATATATTTTTTGTATTACAAAAAATTCTATAAAATATAATCTAAAATTAAGTAGTATTTTAAAAATAATGCTTATAATGCACTAATTTGTATGAAGCACTCGAATATACAGAATTTAGCTGCAAATTACACTCAAAAAAGTAAATATATTTAATATGAAATTATAATTTATTTTTAGGAATATGAAAACAAGTTTACAAATTAGTAGTTTATATTTTTGTGCTAAACATGTAATCAAATATAATTTATATTTACTGTAAGTCACCATTTAATGAGATATTGTTTTATGTTCACCAAATAAGTAATCAATTTAGTAATCGCGTGACATAATTTGTCTGAATTTTACTATAACTTACACTTTAAACTTTCTAATTCTGTAATTTATTTTTGAAGTTAAGTACAATATATGATACATAGAAAGTGAATACGTTTTCTTATGAAAATTAAAAATATATTACTTTAAGTTAATTATAGCCAAATATATTTATTCTAAAATTATACAGAATTTATAAAAATTTTTATTTTAGATTTAATTATGAGTAGTAAGGAAAATATGAGTAAAACTTAAATATCAGGTCACTTCTATTGTTAATATTTGTAATTTTAATTTATTATTTTAATATAAAATTATTACTTATTATAGAGCAATTTTAAATACTAATCAACATATAATTAAATTACAATTAATATTAAAATTTATTTAAATTGTATTAAAAATGATAATATATTAGATTAAAGCAAATAAACTAAATTCATTCATAGATAAATATAATACGAAGCAGAGTTTATGAACTTATGGTCCAAAATTGTTCAAATAAAATTCATAACTATGAAAATAATAGTAAATTATTATTCAGTAGTTTATATAAATACTGTACAGATGTATGGTTCATATGAATACATGTGAATAAACATAATTTACAAAAAAGTTATGCAAAATTGTTATACAAATATAGAGGAAATGAAATACATTTTAAAATTAAATAATAATTTTGTAAATTTAATATAAAAATGTGTACAAAGTATGACATTTAAATTGTCATTTAAAAAGTCATTTTGAGAGGGAATGAAGTAAAACATTGAACGAGTGCTTAATTAATTGGTAATAAAAAGTTGTATAAATGTTTGCTAACAATAGTAATCGGAACCGAGTGCTGGTGTCTGATTGTGGTGGTAAAGGAACAGTTGTCTTAATGGTATGGACAGTACTGGTCTAGCCCTGACCTATTAATTTGAAATAATGGGTCACTGAACTAATGGGTCGACCCTTATAGCCAATACTAGTGAATAGTGCGAACAGGACAAGTGAATAGGCATGAGATTAGCGAATAGTAGCTAAAAAATGTCCCTTTGGTTGGCTGAGCACAGGCAGGAACGGCAGGTATACACCAGCAGAACAACTATTGCACGATCGAGAGACAACTTTTCACTCGCAGAGCACTTGTATTAGTAGTGGTTTTTGGAAGGAGTTCTCAGCCACTCGTCTGGCGATCAAACATAAAGACCAAACACTTCTCGCAACTGTTTTCACTCATCTGTTGGTTATCTTACACTCCGGTTAACCACTCGTTGCAGTCCCACAGCATTCACTCCACTTTGAAGAAATGTTACCAAAACTTATTGCCAGCGCTCTGTTCGCCGCTTTTCTTTTCAATTCAATACAATGTCAGCAAATGGTGGCTCTCTTGAGATCTGCTTCCAACCAAAACTCACAGACATCTCAACAGCAGTCTCAGCAGTCATCCAAACCGCAGACCCAAACACAGCCACAGCTGCTGTCACTGGAACAACAGCAACAACTTCTTCAGCAGTTGGCTATTCTGACGGCACAACAGCAACAAAGACAGCCCCAACCGCCCCAACAGTTCCTTCCACCACAGCCATCACCACAGCAACAGTTCTTCGATCCCAACCAACAATTACCCCCTTTTTTCGGGGGTCAGCCGTCGGGTCCACCGCAACAGCACTTCTTTAATCCGCAACAGTTTTTAGTGCAACCGAACCAACAGTTCAACGGACAGCCACCCCAAGCACAGCCCCAGTTAGCACAGTCCCAACCATCTCAACCCCAACTCCAGGCCCAACCACCCGCACCACAGGGTCCGCAAATTAATTGGGGTTTGTATTCGCCTTATATTTGACTTTCATATGATATTAGTTTTATTTATTTGATATAACTTTGAAAAATATTTTATAATAGCGTTTATATCTTACGGAATAAAAAATTTGTTTGTATTTCTTGTAAATATAGGCAAATGTCCGCAATTAGAACCGTCAGAGAAAGAGAAGTCGACAAAAGCACAAGTTATCACCAAATGTCTGGAGACAACTCCACTGCCACCCAATATCACCAGAGATAC